TACCTCTTCTTCGAGTGTGATGGCAACTTCCTCAGGACCTGCAGCAGGTGCAGATTCCACTGTTGCTGTAACAAGCAATGAGGTTGGAACTTCTGCAATTGCTGCAGCCCCAAGATCGGAACCAGTTGCTGCTGGTCCCAGCCACGCTGGTCCCTATGTGGACCGAAAGGCGGTTCAAATACTGTCCAATGTACGACGACAAAGAAGACGTCGAGTCCTGGATCGGCTCCATGAGGGTCTAGTTTGAGATTCTGGGGACTGAAACTGAGACCCAGGCGGTAATCATGGGAATGAATGTCGAGCCGGTCGTACGGGGCTTCCTAGAAGTCCAAGCAACGCGGGCTGGGTTTCCAAAGGTTGCACTGGCCAAATGGTTAAGGGCCACCCCGGTTGCCTCCCTCGAAGAACTCCTTACCTCAGAATACCAAGATCCACATGTTGCTGCTAAAGCAAGAATTCAACTGGATAAAGTGAAGCACAACAAGTGGAATAGCTCCATGAAAAGCCTGCAAACCTATCTAAGCAAGTTGTTTGTCACCCCTGGTTTGGAATTGTCCACTCAATCTTGCTTGGATGTGGTCAAGGGCGCGGTCCCAACTCACTTCACTAGTCGCCTGGGAGCGGGCTACATTGCGTTCACAGACTGGCTCGCTTTAATGAAGGACGTAGTCGGTCAGAGGCCATGGACCTCGTTAGCACGGCAGGCAGAAAAAAGCCCATGGGCGGCAGACGGTTCAAGGGCAGCAACCGTTTGGCTGTGCATGACCTGCTGGAGGCCGAAGAAGGAGCCGATGCGGTTGACCCCACTCTTGGTGACGACCAAGAACAGGATTCCGGTACAACTTGTTCTTTAGCCCATGAGTCCGATGCAAATAACGAAGAAGAAAAATTTTCTGCCTTTAAAACGACTGCCAACACTAAGGGACCGAATCGGAGTGCCGGAAAGAATTATGTCCAACTCCCCAAAGGAGTTAAGATCCCGCCTAAACCGGAGGATGCATCTACCAAACCGTGGGTTGACCTTCGGATCACTGAGAATGACTGGCGGGCCAGACTCAAGAAGGGGGTTTGCCTGCATTGCCAAAAGCAAAATCATGAAGTTTAGGACTGTTATAGGCTGTAGGGAAACCAGAATCGGGCGTAGAGCCAGACTCAGCAAACTCTACAGCAAGGGAGGCTGGTTCTGTCGAAGATCAGCAGCCCTCCCTTGAAGCCC